TCTTGATTTAATCCCACCCTTTCTTACACAAATCCGATTTTAGTCCAGTGGTCCTACATCTATCCATGGGCAGGCATGATGGCCGGCACAATTTCCCCTTCTCTGAATTCCACCTCTCAAGTCGAACGAAACTCCGGATCTACTTAAATTTCCAAGATGGATCAATGGTGTTGAGATTAAGTATCTCCTCAGTTGCACAGAAATTTGATGACCGGCACGGCCGGTTCATGGGTGTTTCCCTAGAGCACCGACTACGTTGTAATGGCTGAAGCGAGAGGTGTACCAGTAGGAGCGTCGGGGACTACGCTCAGAAGAGGAGAGGGGTCATGAAATACGATGGTTGCTTAACGCTTGGGTTTGTTAAAGAACCACTTTTCAATTGCCCATTGTACCACACCGGATAGGCTGGCCTTTGGGCCAAGCCAGCAATCCTAGGAAGTCTCAGGGCACTACAAGACCATCTAGTCGGGGATATCTCGGATTATAGTTGACTGGAGACTGATGAAGGCGCGAGTTGACTGCAGCCTTATAAACTCATAGCATTTGATTGGTCTTTACACTTCACGAATTAGAAGTGAGTGAAAGAGTGGCCCATTTGAGAAATTCATACGAGATGTGTTTAAAAAGCTTAAACAATGTGTAAATGCATTTATAATAAATGACTCATTAGGCGTTTGAATTTATCAGCATCTTGGTTTCTGCAAGTTAATTGAATAAATGCATCAGAGGTGAATGATTAGTAAATGGCCGTGAATGTCGTCAACCCTAAATGAATTTCCTACTTTGATTTTCTGGACAATTCCTTCCTCACTATTGACTACCAAGCAGCACATTCAAAGAGACTTTAAGACCCCATGTGATTACTCTGACATCAAGGTCAATCGGGAATGTAACCCCTATTGCCTCCAGCACCCACCTAGCAAAGGCGTGTTTCCGATCCGTCGGCCATTAAGATCACCCTGCTGAAGGCTTTGGCGTTTGTATATTTTGCTCATGAACTCGGCAGATGGGAGCTCACATGCACATACATAATATGGATAAATTACTAGGTAGAGGTATCTGAAGTGGACTTATTTACTTGTTTATTTATTGGCATAAATGTATTGCCTCAATCATTTCTTCAACTCTTAGTTTCGGTAACGAGACAGTGAGGAGCTCCGCCATTGTACAACCATTAGGCGGCCTGGCATCCGGACCCTGTCAGTAGCCTCAAGTACTACTGTAGGCTGATAGTACTTATTCTGTTCGAGTATTACGCCTTCTCTAGTCTCCAGAAAACTCTTGGATTGCTACACAATGGTACAGGAAAGAAGGATATTTATTGAAGAACCAGGCGAATGGAAGGAGATATTAAGGATAAAACATTAATGAAAATTCGTAGTTGTCCATATAGTCAGCCTCTGGCCAGAGAAATGGCTCACCTCATTTCGGCCCACTTGATGAAAAACACTGTTGGCACCTCATTTGGCTCTTGACCAACTTAACCACTCCAAATGATTCTCCAGAGGGGAGCGAGCAGCCACGACAACATCCGCTTTAATGATAAAATTTTACAACACCATTTTGGATGCAGATAAGGAGGAGGTCTGATTTAGCCGTCAAGTAGCGTGAGGAAATTTTACCTCTCGGGTGACTGGAGGGCACACGGCCAAGAATACTCAGTTGACTGCGGTTACTTGCGGAGTCTTGGATACCACCCTCTCGGATCCTGCCTCCAATAACTTGGCACTGTGAGCTTGTATTCTGAGGAAATGCTAAAGTGTGCTGCAATAAATATCAAAAGAATCTTCTAGGTAGTGTTTTACGCAAAAAAATAAAAATGCAAATTTTGGGTTCATTTCGTTCAATTTCTCGAGTAAGTTTTAAATATTGAGTAGGTTTTTAATTTTGCACGCCAGCCTCTTTTCTAAATATAAGGCTTGGGACTTGACATTTAAATTTTACTGGATAATCTCAAAATACTAATCAAAATATTTTTTGTTTTTGCTGACAAGTCTTTTGCAGGAATTATTTGCTCTAGTAAAATAAGTAAATAGTCCGGCTAAAGATGACACTTTAAAGTCCCGGTGTCACAAGTGTCCCATTCCGCTATTTGCAAACAATTTTAAGACCTTTTAATTTTGCAGACATGACTAAGAATAAATCCGTTGAGGTAACTTTTTACTCACCCTCTTGCACTTCAAGCAAGTGTTTTTACTCCGCATTTTGAAGTGCAAACTGCCTTCCTACTTTTTTACTAAAGTCTTGTGAATCTCTTGGAAAGCATCCATTTAGACTTACCAAAACAAGTCCATATGCCCTCATCTTCGCTTGCTCCTATGCCCTTTAGTAAAAATTAGGCTTAATATTCGTCATTGCTGTCATTATGATACTCCGTGGTACCGATGGCAACCGAATGAATGGTCTGGCAGTCAAGTTGACTGGACTTGGATTTTCGCCAATTGCAGCTAGTGAATCTTTGACATGTTGCTCATCTAATCGACGGAGGAAGGAAAAGAGGTTTGGTAAGTGTTCTGTACCACTATATATTTATGTGAGTACAACAGCAATCGGGATCTGCACCGGTGGAATCAGGGGACGAGGATTTCAGCATAAACCTATTTTTTAGCAAATAATCCTGATTCCACAACTGTGTTTGCTGTAGTCAAGCTAACAAAAATTAGGCACCTATCACAGTGTTAAGAAGATGAAACAAGCAAGACTAACACTTAAAAGTGTCTTTAATACAATTAAATCTTGCGCCTATCATTTGTGAAGTTGGTTTTCTAAAGGAAAAGCGCTTATTTCAGTCTATCACTGTCAAAATATTCCGCGCAAGCGATGTTAGGAATTTTTACCATTCGACAAGCTGTATAGTTTGAATGCTTCGTAGGAAAACAATACAGCTACTGCTGGAACATGATTTGGGCTATTTGGTTATTGTGCATTCAGTAGTTCAGGAGATATAACCTCCCGAGCAACGGCCTTGACGCCGATAATGAATGGTTCAGGGTTTCACTGTTCCCTCTGTGCGTATCCAGTCACCATTCCATCAGCTGTTATCAACCTACCAGCACTTCGATGCATTCAACAGTTTCCAAAAGTGGTGAAAGCGACAAGCGACTCGCCCCAACAAAATGACAGCTCTGACTTCGTTGGCTTAACACGTTGTCCAAACGTCACAGAAGAGGAGGAGCCAACAGATTTTTACAATGATTCACGTCAATTTTTGACCACTAGGGCTTAATGTAAAGCCCGATTTAGAGTATTCGAAAACGTCCATAATGAAGCCAAGTTGTACGCACTTTCCAGATAGACGGATCAAGGTGGCAGTGAGAAGTGAATGCCAGTTTAGCATCCATAAAGCTACACCGCATTATTCTCAATATTAAATATCACTGCTTTTGGACTCACATTCCTACAATTATCATGCGGATTATGCACGAGGTTGCATCAAGTCGAGTTCCAGAAGAGATAAGATCTTCCATACGGATGTTTTATTAACAAGCCATAGGAGTAAGGTGACGGGACGACGTGTCCGTGCTTGCTCTCTTACTCACCACAGGAAACGAGGAGTAGTTTCGTCCTAGCGAGATTATGGTAGTTTGAATGACCCATTTGTCTGCACAGTTAATGGCTAAAGGCCCCGCGTTGGTACTGGACAGTCAGGCAAAATAGATGAGGGTGGGTTTTGAGACGGAGGTGGGTAGAGAATTAAACATAGGATAGGGTTCCCTTACATCTCCACGATGATGTTGGGGAACTCGTACAATGCGGTTAGGTATGCGTAACTCTGAATCCATCAAAAGGGCCAAAGTCTACCACCGAAGTTCGGATTAAATGACCTGTGGTCCTGAGAAGAAACCATTGTGTGATCCTCCATGTTCAAAAAGCCAAGTGCGTTTCCATGCCCCAAGGAGGTGAATAATTAAAGAGGGAGAAAAGGTGTCACAAAAGGTAATCAAATAGTCAGAAAAGATTTGGGTTATTTTTTAACCAACTTGGATATTTCGCTTCACTTAAAGAAGGATACACATGGACATCTACTCCTTTCGAGTTTGTCACTAGTAAAGACGGTGAAGCAGTGACTTTTGTACCTGTAGACAAGTAAAAGGATAATGTTAACAATAAGACACTCCTTTTACGGTTATTTTTTGCTAAAATGTCATTCATGACCCATTATTTGTGGTCGGAGAAAGTGATGCGGCTGTGCACTTTGCGCATCTTTTAAGGTAAAAGCAAATGCTTCCTTGCACGACCTCTTTTATTATTCTTTCCCACACTTCCTAAAGATGCTCTCTTAGAATTATGCATGCTTCTTGTGGCAAATAACCAGGTAATGCATACTGGAGGTACCTACAACCCCTCCTTGGAATTGCCCCTTTTCGCACCCAATTCGTGACTATTCTTTAACGTGTCAAACCCCGTGCTCCCGTTTGTTTTCCTTTGATTGTCCTTATAACTGTCAACAAGCTAGGGCAATTAATATCACCATAGGTTTGAGAAAATTAAATCACCCTACATTTTCAACACACATATCGCCAATGCTGACGCCCATATTGAAGTCCTTAACTTCTGTTCATTCTGATTGAGCCCAAGAAGGCCCAACTCGTTAACGAATTCAAGGTTGATGAAACTTACTACCTTAAAAGGTCAGGCAAACTTTTTAAATGACTCTCCAGTAGCAAGATGGGGTGAAAATCCATTGGAGAAGTGGAGGCGGATTCGTCAGATGAAGTGAGGCAGTATCTTTCTCTCTTTTCAAAGCCTAGAAAGAGATATATTCACGAGTAAGTTTTTTTAGCCATTAAAACGCAAGAGGCATTTTACACTCTCCTCTATTCTGCCATTCAGACTGTGAACAATCTGAAGTGTAAGATGCATTTTATAAAGTCCATCAAAGAATAAAGTGGTGAAATGGTGCTCTTTGAAGGTTTTTGTCTCCTATTATTGCATGGCATTCAATACTCAAAGCCCGTTTATTTGATTTTACTACAACTTTTCCCTTACACTTGGTGATGATGCAAATTATTTGTTTCATTACTTACGTTAAGCAGTACTGCAAGCTGTTCCCCACGCCTCAGGCACTACTTCTCTTCACCACTGTCTACACCCTGTTTACCGCCGATGCCGAGAACAAGGTGCGTAGTCCGTCGCTGGTCGTGCAAGGCTTTTAGTGATTTGTGGCCAAAATGACATTAGTTGAACTATTTTGGTCGGTGCGTTTCACTATCCCACCTTCTCCAATTGTAATGCAGCCAGTTTGACCACAAGTTCCAAAGTAAAATTAAAAGCCCTGCCTCTGGGGTCACATCCATCACCCCAGTGGATGTGAGTGTTTTTTTATAAGAGGTGCGTGATGATGAGCACCAAGCGGGCAACGTACAGATGGTCTGAGGGTTTGTGATGCCTCGTAGGGCAATGTAAATAGCTGCACGCATTAAGAGGCTATAAGTAGGCTTTGCAGCAGGCTGTAAACGAAAACCACACAAACTGGGACCTTTTTGCCCGAAGAACTAAATAACTCATTGCAAAATTATTGTTCGTGCTTACCGGCAATCCGATTTGTGGAGAACCACATTCATCTCTGTTGACCTTCTTTTGCTGGGATTGGTTCTAATCCAAATAATGGCGTAATTTGCATTAACTCTCTTTTGATTACCTCCATTGGGCGGATATTAGTTGCGGTTTTACTATCTTTACTGTCTGGTAGGCGCCACCGCCCATATTCTTGTATTCAGGAACGCAAAGCGCGGGCAGAAACAGCCTATTATATACTTGTGTTTATGTTTCTTTGCTGTCCGAAAGTAGACAACTTGGTTAAGCTCTATCATACCTCTTTCCACCCCTTCCACTTATTCCTGTGCACCGAGACGAAGATTAGACTCAATTGCTCCTGTCACATTTATTAAAACCATGTCCGAAACATCCTCAGATCTTTTGGCAAGGCAATTTGAAAGACATCGAAGCTCTTTCAAGTGTAACTAATTTTAATCCCATTTTAATAGCCTGCACTTTGTAATGTTTTCTTCTGCTTCTCCATTTTACCTCCCGTTTCAGATCCTTGGATTAGGAGCACTGATGATGCCAGATTTTGGATGACTTTTTATAGAGGAATCAGAGTTTTTCTTCCTCTTTCTCTCTCTCTTCCTCCTTCTCTTGGAGAGGTTACACCTTCATGGCGACGGAGTTGGTCCAACCTGCCAATGAGTCGCTATAATTCAGCCTAATTTTGAATCTGTTAGTGCTCACTCACCACTGGAATTGTTAACTGAACAACTTCTTATAACTTAGACACATATGCAGTTTCTTACAAAACAGAGGAACCGCCCCTCAGATTTGCACCTTTTAGCATTTCCTTGGAATCAAATATCGCATCGATGCCAAAATGGAACGGAATTTACCAACGGAAATAGTTGCAGATGTGTTGGACCAAGGTCTCAAATAAGAGGATGTAAGATCTTACGTGTTCACATTCGAAGCGATATAAATTTTCATGCACCAGTTTCAATCAGTATGATCACCCAAAAACGCAAAAATCTGCCATTGTAGGGTGCAGGAGTGCAAAGCTCTCCTCTTTCATTGACATTCAGATGACCCAACAGCATGATGGTATTTCTTTTGAAAAAACATGTAGTGAATTTCTCGCCTTAAATGACAGTTGATATCCACAGAAATGACATTTTTTGGGGATCCTACGGGTTTCCTTTTCCAGCCACACAATCTCCTCTCTGATTGGTTGACATTTAAGAGTACTGATATTCACAGTAAGGCCACAGCCAATTAAAACCCTATAAATGGGAATCCTCTCCCAGTGTCTCAAGCACTCCGGCCACCAACGTCGAGACAAAGTATTACGTCCTGGTTGGTCATGCTTTTCAACATTACAAACTCCAAATTCCGAAGTCTTCGCCATTTGTTTACCCTGGCTCGGATCTCCAGAGTGTCCATGCTCATAGTGTCATATATCGCCTAGAAAAAAACTCTTCCATGTTTTTTTGATACCTTAAGGAGTTATTTTAATAATTGTCCTTTACTTTATTTTTATGTTAGGGGAAAAATCCTGAACTTGGTAGGAAGGAGTCTACTGTGACTAGCAAAGGATAAGAAGGGGAATATCAAATGTAGGTTGCCAAATATTTTTACCCTTAGCCAAGCTTGTCTCGTAAAAACACTAGTTGTAGAGCGTTGATTTGCCTTTAAGAAGTTCAAATCCGGAGTCAGCAAGGCGAATACAGCTGCGGATTACCAACATTGGAGCCAAGTGTCCATGCATCTTGGTGATGGACCGATGGATAACCTTCGATTCTCTTTCATTGGCTCTTTCCCAAATCTTAAAAATATACAGATAAAATGACTTTTATGTTTTACAAACTATTCACGATCTACTTAGATAACGGCTTATGTCGGACAATCCGTGATCGAGTGTGAGTAAAAATAAAATCCTAACCGTAAGACTCTGGTTATTGTGGCATGAAAAGGAAAATAAGGCAGAGGTTCAGTCAGGGAACATAAAAATATCCTAAAATTGGATATGAGCATCCTCAAATTGCATATTTCATTCAAATATTATTTTGCAGTGTGTGGAAAGTTTGATTGACTCACGTGTCAAGCGTTGTCTAGCGGCCCTTAAACCTATTCTAAGGACGTCTTCGGAAACAATTTGTCTTTAAAAAAGATGTCGTATGAAAAACCTCAAAGTCATCATTTTTGCATCACTCCAAAGCTGTCAGCTTAATAAAATTTAGAAGAAATAAAGGCTTTTAAGCATTGCGCTGAACCAGTATACAATTAAGCGATTACTGCTGTCTGATTTAGAGACCTTTGAATTTCTTCACATTATCTACCACGTGCGTCTCAGTAAAGCATTCACCTTCGCGGGCCCCAGGGCGGTCACATTTGTAGTTACCATTTTATTCTGCCCGTATTAATTTTATGACCTTCTTTCACTTCAGTTTATGGAACCTGGCGTACAAAATTGATGACAGCGGTGAGCCAACGTGGTCCAAATGTACATACCATCCTGGCTCAGTCGCTCCCACAGAAAGAAGACATTTGCTAGAGTAGTTTATTTTAAAAGAACAAAAATACCGTTGACGTTTGATATGCACTTTAATTTTGAGTTCTGCCCTACGGCTTTTATAGCAAAGAAAGAGAAATGGGAATTCAGTTATTCAGAATCTACCTGTCAAAACCGCTTACTGTGTCTTAGTCCACAGACATGGAACCCTCCTCTTCAAGTTGCCCTTGGACAAGTGCTTATACGGGAAGCGATTCGCACCTAATAGAAGCTTGCTAAAGAATATAGATAAGCAATTGGGATTACGTTCCAAAGTAGCCTCTTTCCAGCGCAGTTCATTAAGCATGGAATCAGGAATCAGACATCATAAGTAAAATCAAATCACTTTTCCCCCTACAAGTTGCCAAACATAGTGAAGTCGCGGATCAAGTAAAAAGCATGGCAAAGAAAATTTGGTGACAAGAACGTCATTACGTTCCGAGTCTGTTAGAGTCGCAAAATGGCGAAGTGGTGGGGTGGATCACACAGCCTAGTGCCACACAGAAGAGTTGGGTGGCTCTTAGCGCGGCCCAAAGCTTATGCCGCTGAATAGTGACACAGTCTGTACAAATTGAGGTGCTTGCATAATGATAACTCAACCCATCAAATCACAGCGTAGCCTAACTCCTCTCTTGAACTTCGCCTTTGGAGCTACCCTTGGTCCGTGTTCTGCGTCGGTCAACAGAGTAGGCGAGGTGGCTTAAAAATTACCCGTAATTTAGTAATCGAGGTCATAAAATGTTCTTGTTTGTGAAAAGCTATTTGATCCCTTCGTCACTGATGCGTCATGGAAACTCCATTGTACAAAGAGCTGCTTTCTGTCTCTGAACTGTCTCGAAAAAGTAAGTGTGTCAAAGAGGTAATCTGTTTACTTGATGTGACAATGCCATGTTTCACCTGTCTGCATAAATAGACGCTTCTTAGGTAACAATCTATCAATAAAGGCGGATCCATTGACTAAGGAAAAAATATTGCCAATCCCCAAGAGGCACATTAATGCGACCCTTTGCGAAACTTGGCTATGCCGCATAATCTCCTTTTCACGCACTACTCTCTAACTGGATCAAGTAAGTCTACACTATAAAAATTTTGAAAATGAAGGCAAATAAAACGCTGTTAGTTTTCCTCAAAATATTTCATGTAAAGAAACTGCAAAATCTAGGTAAATGCATTAGCGTTCCACATCGCATGACTCGGCGGAGAAGCAAAAGCTTAAATCAAACTTTTGGGAAGCTGTCAGCTTTAATGAAAACTGGAAAATAATCAGTTTACAAGACTTTTATCTTGGATTAACACTGTAGTTTCAAAGCTTGGCTTTTTATTTCACTAACCATGTGAACGAGGGCATAGGGCGCTACATACGGAGGGATATCCAATCTAACTGTTAGTAATGCTTGCCAAACATTCGCTACTGCTTGGGATGGTTGAGTCTGTGAAGACTCCTAACAGAAGGATGCAGCACCGCATCTGCCTTTGTCAGTTGTCCTAATATCGTATTCTGCAAGAAAGCTATTGAAAACTGCATTAGTAATGGACCTGAAACATTGGGAACAATCAATGGGGAAGCCATCCTCGGTGCTCATATGAAGAAGCTAATTGGGTGGATAGGTGATACCTCCTTCACAGAAGGAAACATGCTCCAAATATCAGATGGCGGAATGGTGCGATGACTTCTGATAACCTGTAGAGACTAGCGAAATGCGTCGCATTGTTTATTTTGCTTTGTAAAGCATCGATGTGCCCCAGTCTAGCTGCATGGTACTTCCTTCGTAATCTCCATTATTGTCCTCTTACTAGGAACTCCCATATCAGCAGTGGCAATTACATTTGATGGATGTGATTTAGGCCTCTCCAATTTATGATTGAAGTTTGACTCGACTTCAGAGGGGTGGATGCTTTTTGCCATAATTGTTGTATAAGCGTTGGGTAAGGTGGAATAGTGGAACGTCCTATAAAGAAGTGTTTTAACAAAGGTCATTCTGAGGATAAATCACTAAAACCTTGCCACGTCAAGTAAGAGAAAGCAGACTCTCTATTCTTGGCAGTGATAATGGACTACTTGTAGTCAGTGGTTAAAGGGTCTTCGAATTACAATGATGTTTCATGTGAATAATAAGAAAGTGGATCTGCCTCTGCACAGTCTAGCAAGAAGAGTTGTGATGAGGCCACGCGCGAAGTCTCGTGTCACGAAAATGACAGATAACGAATGGCATCAAAGACAGTTCGACTGGCATGTGTTCCCATCATAAAATGAACTGCAAACAGCTATCAAATGTGTAAAGTTAGGATAAATTATTTGGGTTTTTATACACTATAAGCTAAATTGTTGTTAATACTTCAAAAGCGACATGGAGAGACACGTCTGCAAGTAGATTTGTCCATTTTTTGCGCAGTCATCCATATTGTCCACCATGCATTCTTAAATAAAAAGTGAAAATGAAACAGGCAGAGCGATTAAAAGTGCCATGTTGGTTGCACCAACACTCCACTTTTGGAAAAAGTATTTCACAAAGATTAGTTCTGAATGATTTGAAAAGGGGATGCTCAAAGCATGGGAGGGTAAAAAACGCATGATTTAAAATTTTGAGTCTTGACTGTAGTCAATCACATAGAGTGAGCAGCAGGCAATTACGTGTTGGCATACCAGACTTTCATTCGAAACAGACGCTGCTGCGTGAACTCGCTTCCTGAAGAAGGTGGGATTTTCACTCCTCTCGTGACTGCTGTTGAAGTGCGCTCGAACCGAGGCCATAAATTGGGACTGAGGACGGCCGCTCAACAGTGAGGGAGGACAAGCAGGTGGACGAGCAAGCAAGCGAGTGATGGTGAGCTGATGTGGTGGATTGTGCTGCTGCGTTGACTCCTCCTTATGTGTGTACAAGGATGACTTGTACCTGGTTAGATTTGCTGGTTTCGTTGGCGCTGCTAACTATCTTGCACACTTGACTCAAATCAAAGTGGCGACTTGTCGCTGTGTCACAATCATTTGGCCATTTGACAACTGATTTGATACACTTCGCGTCTCAGCCATGATGCAGTTCGGTGAGCTTCATTATTGTCCCCCTAATCAGGGATGTCAAAGATGTGTTGATTATAGCCCTTAGTTTTTTCAGCAATTAACAAATGTACGTGTAGATCCAACATGGTGCATGACCACAATGGCACCTGGGAGGCATGACCGTAATATTATGTCCATAGTTGCCTTACATCCATGTGTTGGTCGTGGCAACCTCGGTGGTTTGCTCCACTTCCCAGACGGTATAGTTGATCTTGTCACAAGAGGTGTATTACATCTCCCACTTCCTCCCCATCGGACTGCTGTTACCTCAGTTCCACCATCCACTTGACTACTCCTACGAATTCCACATTAGATGCCTTTTTTTGTTTGTTTCAACTAAATTTAGGTTATCGGTCGGTCTTTGTGCAGTGCGGATATGATCACTGCCGACAATCCGACGAGAGAGAGCGTGAATGCACACGAAAGGGTGCTACTGACACCCGAAGTTGCATTTAAACACATTCGTGTCATCATCACCACTTTCTCTATGGAAGGCCTCTCGCAATGCTGCTTGGTCATGTGACAAGGCGTGCATTTCCCTCTCGTGCCTCCCTTTGCAGATGTGCCGTGGACGATCAACTAGCAGCAGTAGGTCTAACTGTGGAGATATAAAATGCAAGATGTTGAGCTATTGCAACTTGGTCGCCACCCTATCAGCCTCCAGACAGCATAGCGTTAGAGTTCTTAATGGCATCTTGTGTTGTGTTTAAAGTAAGTGCGGTCGAGAATGAAGTCTAGTAAGAAGTTTACATTACCCCAAAGTCGTCTTCTTATGTCAAACATGCAAGTCACTAGAACATATAAACGGTGATGACCAAGTCAATTGATCTTATCATTCAAGTCAGTGGAAATTTGTGGTGATGCAAAGTAGGGTCTGAAAAGTTGCATATTTGCTGCATAATTTATGGATGTTGGATTCTTCCTGGGTAGGTAGTAGTCAACTCCTTGACGGCATCGGTCCAATGGAATGTATACTGTAGGTGACGATGTAATTGATGATTAACAAGGACTTGGACGGTAGGTGGTGGTTGATCGGGTGCTTATTTGGCATGAGGCATTTGGCTATTGCATAGTCGTTTGTGCTTTTCACCGAATGAATATTTTTTACAGATGACTGTCACACTTGCACATTCCTCTTCAAGGTTGCAAGTTGGATTCTGCCAAAATCTCAGTGATTATGGTCTCCCTTTATTTTGACTATGATATATTTTGGAAGCAAATGCTATGCTGCTTTTGATGCTGACGTGCTGAATATAATGGCAAGGAAATTTGGAGGCTATGAGGTGAATTAATGGGAGGGTCGATGGTACAAAATGAAGTGATGGGATGCTGCGTGAAGTGTCTGCTTTATAAGTCCCCACTGCCTATAATTTCCACAGTTGCATTTTCAGAGGGCAAACGAAAATTAATAGCAAGTTTTTACCCATAGTGGTTTGTCTTGAGAAAAATAAAAGTCTTTTGCTGAGAAAGTTGCCGTTATGATCGTTTTCTGATGTTATAATTGTTGCTGCCATAGTGGATTGCCAGGGAGAATCTTTTACTAATTAAAGTTGTCTAGCAAAATGATTACAATTACATAGAAATGCGTTCATCATATTTTTCGGAGAGGGGATCGGTTTGCGATTCCTTCAAAAATGAGTCAAAGATAGCTGAATTTGAGGATACTGAGAAGAAGCTTTAGCAAAGTAAGATGGGTCATGACTTTTTCGATATCATGGAGAAGTCTAGCGCTTAACTAAAACCCTGCCTTTTTTCTCGCCACCACGCATCCTTGAATCAAAGTCACTAAATGCCCGCAAAGACTTGATATTTTACACTAAACACAAAACCAAATAGCTGGTTGCTGCTTTGGAGAGTAGCGTTTGCATTGTGGACAATGGAACACTATTTATACTCCTTATTTATCAGGCTTTAAAACGCAATAAATACGGGTCTAACATTAACAAACCATGATCCCTAAACCATTGCAGTGCTTAAAAGGCTCTGAAAGGCATAAATCTGGAAGTGGTTGAGTGTTGGTAGTGTTACTTTGTGTCATGCCCTTGTTCCAGAAGGGTACATTTGCTGTGCAATTATTCCTGGTTAGAAGCGCTTTGCACCCTAGAATTCCTTCTTACACTTCTGTAGCATTTCCTCTTAAAACAATGATTGCCACAGTCCTGCATATGAGCAATTGTTCGTGCCCCCCTCTTCGCCATCAAACTAGCAGCAGTTAAACCAAATTATTCTCTTGATATGCTTAAGCAAGCAACTGACTGACTTACAAATTTTATCGTTTCTCGTCTACTTGTCTTAAAACTGAGTCTAAATGTGCAGTTTGCTCTAGTTGAGATAGAGGAAGATTGCGTTTCATTTGCACCATTTTAAAAAGTTAATGTTGATACCTCAAGGTGAACTATCTTATTGTATTCATAAAACAAAACTTCATGACTAGGTCCATTTTTTGCTTAATGTTTTGGTTATCAAGTAAAAAATACTTTCATGGTACTATTTTGCATTAAAATGCATTCTTTAAGCTGATTTAAAAGATTACAAGTTGTGTAGTATATATTGTGGTTTTTTATTCAGCCTAGGAAGTAAAAAGGCATCACAAATTTGCATTCTGCAAAAGCCATTATTTAGCAATGACTTGGAGTAAAATTGGGGAACAGACCGACTGCACTGATGAAAGCGTTTAAGTATCCGCACATTTGTGTCTCAGCCGAGGCCTCCAAGTGCGTGTGACTGTTGTCTATATACCCATCGACACTAGCGTGTGAAATGTCCATAAGCCACGGAATGAAAGTACCACCCGATGGTTTCTTGCAAAACGCAGAGGTAACAACCCAAATACTTGCAAAAAGCGCACTCTGACTGGAAAAAGCTATAAAGCAAACTTACACATTCCCTCATGAGCATTCATGCCTTACATACACCGGATAAAAGACCTTACGAAAAGTGCAGGCAACCTAACGTCCACCAAGGGAAAGACTTGGTGCAGCCCTACAAACCAGTTTTACTGCCTGTACTGCAGCTCAACGTCCACCTCTCCTTGAGGCAAGTGATTGTGAGTGGTAGATTTTATTCACCAGCACCTTACGCCAGCTGTAAAACACAGATCCGTAAACAATCGACTTTGATTTATCATTGTATAATACATCCATGTAAAGGACCATCACCGATTGCATCTCATGAATTTTAGCTCTACAACATGAAGCTTCTCAATAGAGAAACTGTCGGTTCTCCATATTCATAAAAATTCACGGGTATTTCTTGTGAAGTAACTTCAAATGTCTTTTTTTCTATAAAGTGCACAAGCGCCTTATTTTTAGCTTCTGTCTGATTGTCAAATTTGAAAGACGCTAATGCCAAGTAGGACTAAACCCCCTCGATGATTTGCAATTCGCACGCCAGACACCAACAATTTGGGGTTCCTTTTGAGGTTCACAATTACTACCACCCTGACGTGGCAATTCTGCTGCACTGGTACACCTCACAATCATTCACGACCGCTATTTCCATTGAATCGGCCACTGCTTTTCTAACAAAATTTCTGGCTTTTAAGTACACAGTAATAGGGTTATTTCGCTGCCTGTCTGCTTTTCGACATCTGTCTCCATTCTGCCGCTGTCAAAGACGTACTGTTGAATACAGGGCACCGCTGCATTCATGGCAATGTATGGAAGACGTAGATTAGAGCTACTAAAATACGAAGCATTTTCAACGGAATTGTTGGGAATAAATCAGCTTGGGTGGAAGGCCGCATTATCAAAACGAAAGTGGAAGTCACAAAGGCTCTTGACTCCCAGCAGCTGGGAGCACAGTCAAACAAACACCAAGAACACCACACAGCACCTGAAGCTCATTTGGACCACGAATTTGGTCATCACAACTTAATTGGAACTTAAGAGGCATTTACCATCGCTTAATGCTAAACATCATATTATTCTGAAGACAGGGAAGCATCTGGTCCAGGTTATTGCACTCTAATTGGAGTCTCATCTAGTGGACTGCATTTGGGCAAGACTATTCCGTTCACTGCATTTATCCTGCTCAAGACTGTGCTATTCACCTCTTTAATTGCAAAGCACGGACCTGTCACTGTTGGCAGATACATTTGTTCAAAAGAGTGACCTTAAATTGCACTCTCACCTCCCTCTTGCTAATATGTTTGGGTCCCGTTTCTGTTTAACCTGTAATTTGGATTTTGTTCAATTGCTGGCATCTTGAATGAGGCGGTTTTTTAAGGGCAAAAATTCATGCAATTGCAAATAAACGCAGCTGCTGCTCACGTCATTTTGATCGTGAATTGACTCTTAACTTCTTGTTGCACTGGAGATTGAAAGGATTTGGAGAAGAGCAGGTTGTCCCTATGTCTTTTTCCTACAAAGTCGTTAAGAATACAGCTATCTGCTCCATTCGGCTTCCTTTTGTTATATCAAGATTTCATAGTGAGTCTAAAAAACTGGCATAGTTGACCGCTTGGATAAATGACACTGCTTTCCACCTTCAGCTTTCTTCTCTGGTTGGTTACGGTAAGCTTTGTGGGGCATAGTAGTATGGAAGACGACTACTATCTGACGTATTGAAGGACTGTTAGGTCGTGGTTTTGACTGTGGTGACGGTTATGGCTATGGACATTGACATGGCTAGAGCTCTAGCTGAACAACGTGGAGGCATTAAGGGAACCCAAATTCATAGTCATATTCAAAGAGAAATCGAAACTTAGGCTGGAGCCGTGTAGCCTTGACAACCCAATTGTTCTATCCTACACAATTTTAAAGTGCCTAGCCGTGCAAGCCACGTGACACAGGTCGATTCCTTCATGTGTCAAAGGAGACGCCTTCAATTACGGAGGCGCAGGACATGCTCGTTGATGGTGTTCAATGCTTTGAGGTACTCGTCGCATTCCTCCACCCTGCCGTCCTTCTAGCCCAACAATCCAGCCCTCCTGCTTCGGTTTATCCTTGCAGTTTGTCTACTTTCCACTCTTTCCTCCTCCCCCTACTCCAAACATTTCAATGGGCTAAAACAGGGGAAACAGGGGGAATTCATAAATATCAGGAGTAAGTTGTGCCATCTGTTCTTTTTTCCCTCTTCATACTTTTTCCTTTCTTTCTTCCATTTACTCTTTATTTGCAGGGGTTAATCATTTATCAACTCAACCAGTCGGCCATTCAGTTGGACATGACATGAGTGAACTGTGTGCCCACATCAAGAAGGCCAGCTTGATGCTCATTTATTTATTAGCAATTGTCTTGTTTACCTTTCGAGAAGCTGCATGGGCTGCGGAACAGATAAATGACTGAATGACCAAAGGAATGAGTGAATAAGTGTGTGGATGCATTAGTAAAAGAAAGAAAGTGAATAAAATGGATAGCCACGTTGTGAAAGTGTTCTAAATTAACTCACTTTGTGCAGAGACATTATTGTTTGGCATTTTCTTAACCACTTCGTCCTCCTCCTATCCGACCCATCTATTCTCCTTCCTCCAAATCCTTCTAACCTTTTTTCCACTTTCAGCTAGACAGTCATTGTTCTTTGTCTGCACCGGGGCGCCGACTAACGCAGTACATCCGGAATTTACATTTTCCAGTTTCGTGGAAATCTCTACAGATGAGTCGTCAATTCATTTTTACCATTTAAATCCTGATCCTGTCAATGTGCTCATCTCTACGGCTCTTTGCAATGCATTTTACAACCAGGAAACCATTAGTAACAGCAGCAGGCACACTAAGCCACAAGTACTTGTTCATCATTCTTTATGCATTCCAAAGGCACTGTGGTAAGGTGGACCAGGCTTGAGTGGACTAAACTATCCGCTCCACAGACCACACTTCATAGCTGCTTTCGTACCCCAGCATTCAGGGTCTAGTTCATTGGCAGCGCTAAATCGGGCTGAACGATTTAGGGGTCAAACGAGACTAATCTTAACTCGCCTGGCAGATATTAAGGAAAATTATAGGCGTGCAGGACTACTTGATGTGTTCAGGATGTCAGTGGAAAGGGGGATCTTCCAGCCTGCTCCTCTTTTCCCTAGTCTCAGTTCAACGGCAGTTCGGTGAGTGTCTCATCCTTCTTTTACTACTCCGTACCCACCTTCCTTTATGTCTCATCAGGCCTCACCATACCTCATTTATCCAAAACGCTTGGCAGACAATAGATAGGCTGTCGCAATTCCATGCAGTTGTTATCATCTGTAGCACTTTGCCGATGCCAAAATTCCTTGACATCCTCTGCATGTGAATTCACTTCTTTCTATCTCCTCCTCCTACGTAGTTCTGTGCCAATGTCAATATCTACAACTCATCGTCCACTCGGACTTTACGGTGGTACATCGAGTATAGTCATGAGTAATGCTGCAGACCAGACTGGAACTTCGCTGAGAATTTATGACACTCTACTAATAATCGTTCCTGTTTTGTTCCAGTGACCAAGTTGCATATTTCGACGTATTACTTCAATTTATCCCAAACTCCACTTACTTTGCCGCTCCTGCCCGTATCGATGGGTTCTTAATCGGCATTCCACACTGCAGCCGCACTTGTGCTCCCTCCATTGCCTACATCCCAAGTTCTCCCCTTCATATGGTCTATACACCCGGTCCCTCACAGAAACTGGTAAGAATGCGCACCGTCCTGACTAGTTAATAGTCCAAATTCACTTTCTGTGGAGTTCACCCAGTGGCCGTACGTGTGTGTGCAGCAGTGTGTGAATGTAAGTTGAATTTTTTTTGCTTAACTGCTGTCTCAGAGAGATGGGTAAGAATGCATGCTTTCCTCATTAGTTGTTAGTTGTTGGTCAGATTTTACTGCGTGCCAGCGTGCATTTGCATGCGCATTCATCTCCTCTTCCCTTCTAAATCCTTTCAGTCGGCCGCAAATCCAGCTCTACCTTCACACACGTAGGCACTTGTCTGTCATTTGGCTGGTTCATTTGTTGATTAAGTTGTTGGCTAAATAATTGAGTTTTCATCTTCTAATCTTTTTGTAAGGGCTGCATCTCTCACGTTTCCCTCTCCACTCCATACGCCTCCCTTCCACTTTGCCATGAATGCTGAATGGCTGGGAGAAGGGGGTGATCAGACAGGAATGGGTAGTCCCGATTATGCAATGTACATTCGAAGAAGGAAAATAAGAAAATTGAGAAGGAAGTGAAGGAGAAGTATTCTGAAGGAAAGTGTCGGGGAGGGGGGCGGGGGGAAGAAGTCCATTTATGTTATAAGTCTCCAAACTTGAAGGAACCTACGTCGTCATCGGCATTTATTTTGTGGTTCTGCCAGACACGAAATCAAGACGCTTCTGGTTTTTGACGTCACTTCATAAACGACTGCTAAAATCATTCTTAATGGTTAATGTATCACCTTCTGTACCGATTTATTAGTGATATGTTATTTCGTTGACATGTCTCCTCAGCCATTTGTGATACCTGCTTTTAAAAGCAGGAAAGGTGTACGATGCACGGTCTGAGGCGGTGACTGCTTTTTCATCACTTGGATTCCACAGCGGAATCGTAAGGCATTCACTTGAGTGCAATCCTTAATTTTTCCTTGATTGATGGCGATCGCGTTGCGTGGCATGGGAGTGATGGGATACTTCCTAATCTTCATTACAAAGAAAGTTACGAGAAAGAGTGGAGACCGAGGTTTCCACACATCTGGGCGGAAGAAGACGAAATATTCACACCCACGTGTGCAGTTGGCGCGGGGAACAAGAAGTCACTGTTATAACCATCCCGATGATGTATAATGCCACCACATACATTGACTACTACAATCTCCGTCACTTCACCGCAAAGAAAAAACTTGTTTAAATTCATCTTCCTTCCATCGTTTTCCACTCACCACTTAAAGCAACGGTTTGATTTTTATGGCTTTTCCTTCTCCGATGTGTGCAATTCCTTTCCTTCTACATTATCTTTTAAGGTTAAAGTCATATTCTCCCAGTTTGTCACGTTCTAGTTAAATAGGGTAAACAAACAAGTTATCTTGATTATGCTTTCATTTCTTGCACAAATCACTTTCATTCAATGACACAGTTGTCTCTCCTCAAGCGATCATGATATCCACTTTTTCAGCAGTGTCTAAAGGTTCTTCGCTTTTCAAGCTTCAAGTCCAAGTCACTGCCGCCGGCAGAATGTAAATACTAGCTAAATAGACTCGGCTGAAATGCAAAAACTTTACGCCTCTTAACTTAATGCAGCTGGAAAATCAGGGAATTTCTTATCGGATGATCAAGAGCATTAAGGAATCTTTCCAGCAGTCCAATCCATTTAGAAATGGGAATTTATTTCATACTTGTGAACAGACTAATGATATGTTCACTTGATCTGGTCGACTAATACCCGACAAGCTGACCACAGACTGATTGTAATGAAAGCACGGAGTCCCTGTGGATCGTGTCGACAAATTCGCGTCTGCCATGATGATCAGTCAGTGGATAAAGTTGAGGAACTTCTCCTTTACCATCTTTCGTCTGCCTGTCAATATTGGCAAGGCTGTGGAAACCCGTCCTTCTCGAAGTCTGCGAAATTGAGTCTGGAAATATGCACAACAGCAACTTGGAAATCAATTGCTTTGTGCTAAAACTGTTCCAGGAAGTTAATGACACTGTCATGGGTTATTTTCCCCAGATTATAACAATTTTTAATCCTTTTATTTAAATTCTACTGTTTCTAATTGTCCCTAGAATGGAAAGATTTTTATGCATAGCTGAAGTCTTTATTTGGTCCCAACTTTTATTCCCCTTCACTTCTGCGTGTGTCAAATGCAGGTGCCGAGAAAAGGTGTTAGTCATAAGTTGGAGGTATATCATCAAAAAATGAGCCAGCATCTCCCTCTTTCCTTCCATTCCCTTCCTTCATTCTCAATAACTCGTCACCTCGCCTCCACTCTAACGTACATAAGAGTCTCATGGGAAGGTAGTCTTCTCTTCGTGATCTCAACCGTACTCGAAGTTTTGTGTTTAGTAAACAACCTCACTCACGTACACACGAGGCACAGACATTTTCAAGGATGACCTACTGCCTTGGCGGTGTATAGAGGAGTGGCGAGTGGATCGCCGAAGAGGTTCAAAATTCATTTCTCATCGGAAATCGGGCAGTCAGTCAGTCACTTTGTCACTTTGTCATTACAAAGTGTAATGGCAAAGAAAAGAAAAACTTGCAACAAGCCTTCCCCCTCTCAGTCGATGGATGTACAAAGTAGTCTTTACATCGGTAATAAAAATTTCCTTGGCTTATTCCTTTTCAATTGTTTTACCGCGCTAATGATGATTCGAAGTTTTCTGGTAGTATCAAGAGTGCAGGACTATTCCTCCCTTTGTTGCATCCATCTTTCGGAAGTTCAGCATTAAATTAAGTTTTAAACTACCTTCTGGAGGCACCTCCCACCATCGAGCCTTCCACAATTGCTATACAGTAAATCTGACGTGATTTTAGCTTCTGTGACTTTAGAACCATAGGCTCCTTGAATGTGAGTGCTGACAAGCGGGAATTCACATCCATCCGTTTGGTCAAATGGACATTTCATGATAAGAGTGGTACCATACCGAAAGAAGGAGAGCAGACAGCACAAACGAGTTTGTCATGTTGACGCATTGACGCTGAATGGCAAACTGCCTTCACCTTACAAGTCACTGCAACAAGATGTTCCGAAAATCGTGCAAACTTGTTAGTTACCCGGGAAAAATCAATTTACCAGTTTATTCCTCTTTATAATGAAAAACTGCTGCAGCACGATTTAGTTTTGTGGGCTTACTTTCACGTAAAATTAAACAATAACCGGGTGTAAGTATGAGTAAATAAGTTGCAACTTTGCAAAAAAGTTTCATTCATCTTCAAATAATACCCAATAGTTTCCAAATAGGGCAAAATCGGAGTCCCCCACTTGCCAGTGGGTAACAGTTTTCTTAAAGTTGTCGGCTTTTCTGGTTGTCCGAGTGGATTTTGCGTTAGTTACATAATTTTAAGGTTTCGGTCCGTTGATTTGCTCCGTGCCAGAAATCTGCTTGAAGAAGCAGTAACGAGAAGGAGCGAAAGTGTCTTCCCAGTGTCTATCCCATTGCATTTCATCAGTATGGTTGGTGGTTGGCCAAAATCGCATTTTTTTGGCCGAAACTACCATAGCGCCAAATGGCCCGCCTTATATTTTTCCAAAAGGCCTAATGATAATTGCATCGCACACATACCGGCCATCCATTTTATCCTTTCTACAAATTTCACTCAGCCTTTCGGCCCCACGTCTTAAAATATTGTGGAATAAAAGGAAGTAAAACTTTGCAAATACAGTAGACGTGATTTGAAAATCAGCATTTTGAGAACGTATCACTTAATATGCTGTACTACTTGAAAATGGCCGCCTCCCATCCACCTCTTTCATTGATAAGCTCTCCCCTCGGCTCCTTCTTCCTCGCAATCACGGTAGACGATCAGGAATTAGGGGAAATCTGGATTGCAAAAATACTAGAATTTTAGAATTCGGGGGCAAAATTTAACTATTGTTGCAACAGACCCGCAAGATAGCCTTTGGAAGTTATTCAGACAAGTTGCTTCTCATTGTTGCATCTACTCCTTATAAATCGCATTTGCTTGATGTTGTGGCTATATCGGATGGGGTTTAAAAAGCTGCATTTTGGGAAACATAAATTTTAACGAACTGTGACACTTGAATAGGACTACCTCTTGTCTACTGTTGTCTGCTGTAAGATTCTGACCATAAATATCTTTTATTGCTGAACAGTTCCTCTAGGCGACCACGAATAAAAGTATGCTTGATTTCCAGAAGCATAAAAATGAAAAATGGCCTTGAATATACTTTTAATCAATGAACGCTTGACCTTGACCTTTGGCGCTGGTTTTGCTGAATTTAAGTGAGAACTTTTAGACAGCAGCGGTAACGCACTCGGCGAATGTCTGTTGGTAAGTACTCATATTGTGGCGTCTACTCTTTGGAGATTATATTCAAATTAACGCCACAAATTTGAGAAATCTCCTAATATTTAGAAAAAAGAAGGCAAGAGTTTACTGTGGAATTTTTCCTCTTACTGTACGTGATATGCACCGGATGGAATAGACGGAGTAGGAGAGCTGTTGCCCCTGATTTATTGGCCTAGTCGCTGCAAAAATTGACAGAGCAGCTTGTGATGACATTGACGGGCGCTGACATATCCCAGTAAATGACTCTGTTTTCCCACAAAATTTCATTTGTTTTTGGTATTTGCTTTGCGCATAATGAAGGTCTCTGGATTATTTTAATTCGTGCACTTCTATTTTGAAGTGTAGGACCTGACCACATGCGGCCTAGACATCGCAGCATCTATGAAGCGGCGAAGTACTACTGAGCCACAAATGTAAAAGGCTGGTAGCTTATGCGAAGCAATCAAAGTGGAAACCAGAACTGCTGAGACTGAAAAGTCCAGGGAGCCGAAGTAAGAAAACTACCCTCTTTTACGTCCTCCCTTTTATTTAGCATCGGCCTCGGCATGCCAGGTAATCACAATACCTCGTTAGACCTAAAAAACATTCGGGCTTAAAGACCAACTCATGAATCAGGAACGATCATACAACACCTTTCCACCACAAAGTCATTTAGTTCTAATCTAACTCATGCATCTTGTTGGCATCAGTGGATCCAGAGTCGAAGCTTGGCGATCATCATCATGGAGCATCACTGGCTATTCACTGTTTGAAGCGTGTCGATACTCCACCGTGGGCGCATTTTATATCCCAAAGACCATTCGTAGGTGCGGTTGCCTAGAAGCAAAACAATTTTTTAAAATTAATGAGCTACTTTTTTCTACTACCTTCCTTGTACACGTCAAATTTGTCCAAATCGCTCAAACCTATCCCTCCTATAGCTTGTCAAATTGAGTCATGGCAAGATAGAGACGCGTATTCGACTGGCATTAAAGTTTCGGATCACTTGCGCTGCCTTCTTTAAGTCCATTTTATGCATATTTGCAAGAAAAGTTTCTGCCGATCCCTGTTTTTAGACTAAATTCACGTCCTTCTTCATGCATCATAAAAGCCCTCTGCAACTGTCTGCAAGGCCTAAAGCGTCTTAAAATCAACCGTATTCTTTGTTACTTAAAGTGTGCAGCTATTTTTGACTTACTTTTATTTATACAGAATGTGTCAATCAAGGCTGCGAATAATCCTTCGACTTGGATTTTGCAGCCATTTTGAGCCCAAGCACCGGCGCCTCGAGCCCGACACGGTGATGTTGGGTAGGTGTGCTACTGCTATCAGTTAAGTGACTGCTTTCCCAGCTGTAATTAAATCCTTCATTTTCAAAATATGATAAGAACCGCAGGAGTCTATTAGAAGTATCGCCCTGGTAATGACTTTTTGAATGTAGCCAGACTTGTGCCTCGTCGCACTTAAGCCAGACCCTCACCAACAAGGAGGTGAATGAGGCTTTGAGTGCCATTGTAACCCATCTGGCTCTTGGCAGTATAACAAACCACCTTTCTTATCACCAGCCAGTTAGAAGGCTCCTCTGGCGTGGGCTCTGCTGAAAGGTTGGACCTCTCGGCCACCTTCGGACAGACGATGTTGGGCCGATTGATTGTGAGTGCAGGGGAAGGACTGGCTAGGCAATGAAAAATCAGGTTGTTGGCAACATAAAAGCGAAGGCGTCCAGCTGAATTTGATTAGAATGATGGGGTGATTCCAACTGCTCTCCCTAGCTCCATTGACAAAATCTAGACCGACCACCATTTAAAGCCGATTTTTACTTCATCTGGATGACTACGCGACTTCGATTGCGCAGAAGGACAGGCAAAGGCAAAGTATAAAGGAGGTGGGTATGAATTACATTTCGTATCCTTTATGGATGTATAAAAACACAGAAATTGACGTTTCAAACGGTAAATGTGTAATATACAAGCTACTAAAGCTGAAACGGCCTTTCATAATTATTCAGGAAAGTATTTCCTTGGAAAAGTCAAATGCTGTAAATACACAATCCCCTTATTCTTCGCTGTGTCCATTACAAGGCGCCTGGTCCTCGGTGATGTCGACTTCATGTTGTGCCAGCACCAACTGGAGTACGTTAGTGCGGTCGAGGTAGACGATGCAGTTGGTGTGGAAGACGCCACACTGTTGAGTCAACGCTGCCGTGTCCTGCACACTCCCTCGTCTACACGGCGCCGACAAAGACTTCATCCTGGGTGTTTGTCACATTTCAAGAGGCTACTTTTGTGTTACATGCAAAGGCAATCGGAGTTCACGAACATTTGCCATTTCAAACAACTATTCCGCATCGAGCACTAGGCCTCGCCCTTTTGACCTTTGGATCAATCATAGAGGTTTGGGAAAGTACCGCAAGAATCGCGTTTATTTCTCATAAAGAAGCACTGACGATCAACTGGTAATAAGGCGAGTTGCGTCAAAATGGGAACCACGAAGCAATGTAAAAAGAACTTGCTATTTCTCACGCAACCGAGGCTAGAAGTAGGCTGAAAAGGCAATCCAGTGGCGGCAGAGTTCAGTGGCAAAGGCCAGGGCTCAGCGACAGAGGGGTTTAAGCTACCTTGTCCAACGTGAGAGTGAACGAGTAAATGGCATTCAAGGATCCACAAAATTCAAAAGGTGGATCTTCTTCGCATAAGAGCACCTCTTTTGATCCCCACATATCAGAGAAATGGCATTCACTAAGAGGTCTCCGAGAATTGTCCGCCTTAGTCACTAAGACGTCGAAGTGAATAGCTTTGCCCAGCCATGACTGGTGCGCATGATAAGATTGATCCCTCTGACGTTGCTGTGACTTTTGAGCTGATGAAGTTGATATCCTTAACACAGTATAAAAAGGGGAGAGGGGGAAATAGACTATCCAGTTGTGTAGGCAGGATTACTCACGCAGAGGGTAGTGCGGCGCACACGCTAGAGACGACATCCACACAAATCAACTACTCAATCCAACGAAAGCATTGATTAAGACACACAAGCTATGACATTGCTTGAAGCGTCCTCCGGCAGCGCTTTCAACATTTTCAACAAGTCACAAAGCATTCATTTTAAATAAAATGACCTGCAAGAGCAAATTTTACGATGCTTTGGTGTTAAGAGCTTGAAACGGATGGTAGAACCAATGACTACTTCACCTGCAAGCTATTTCATACCTAGTTGTGGATGCGAAATGAGCAGCACACCACGAACTGCGACAACTTATTTTGTAGCTATAAGTAATGAAGTTACCATGGTAACACAACGCAGTTGTGATTGACTATTGTGTCTAAATCCATTACAGCTACGAATAGGCGGCGCACATATCATAAGTCCATCGGTCGGTCGGTCGGTCGGTCGGTCGGTCGGTCGGTCGGTCGGTCGGTCGGTCGGTCGGTCGGTCGGTCG